GTCTTCGTCAAGCTTACACTCACGCAGATAAGAATCCTCGGGGAGAGAGTATATATGCGTGTGTTTATGTATACACACACACACCAGGTAAGACTCTCTAAATGAGAAGAGGAAGAAATCAGAAAAATCCAAGAGCTACACAGTCTAGCTACTCAATAAACTTGCAGAGATTGAAAACAAAACCCAGCATTTAAACTGCCTGTCAGCTCTCGTCTCACCCTGCCCCAACCCCATTGCTTGTCAATCCCCACAACGGGCTTCCACTTCTCACAAGCACGTGAACCTGGAGACGCCACACAAATTTCCTAATTTCTGTCTGTGGCATTTATACTTGACAGGACAGCCCAGTGGCAAAGAGACTCTGGAGCCACCCTGCCTGGGGTCAAGTCCCACGTGAGCCACTAGGAGCTGCGGGACCTTGGGCAAGTTGTTTATCTCTCTGTGCCTCAATTTCCTCACGTGTAAAATAGGTACGATGATAGTACCTTCCTCGTGGGCTGTCGTGCAGTTTAAATGAGTTAACCTATGTGGAGTACTTGGAACAGAGCCTGGTCCAGAGTTGGTGCTCGGTGAGCATGAGCTGTTATCACTCTACCCACCCGAAATTCTCTCTACATTCCTCTCCACTCATCCAAATCATTCTATTAAATGGTCAAGCCAAACATTTTACCTTCCATTACTATGCTGATAAGCTCAGTCTCAACACATATATTTACTCAGGGTCTCCATGTCCCATGCTCCAGGAAAACCAGGATGAATCAGACCCAGCCCTGCCCTTGAGACCTCAGTCAACTTGGGGAAACAGACAGACATTCCAATGAAGATCATCACCGTAATTTGGCAAGAACTGTGAGCTGGCATTACCCATTAAGTGTCCCCCGCGTCGGATTTGGCCTCTCTCTCCTGACTCTCCTGAGGCTGTTAAACATCCCATTTGTACCGTGATATTTTGCAGCAAAGACAGTTGTTCTGTGTCCTCTGAATTGTTTCACACGTATATGCTTTGACTTGTTCAACTTGATGGAAAGGAGCCCTTTCTGGGACTGGGTCTTCTAATTCTGTCCCCTAATCCACTCCACTCCAGTAACCACCTTTTACCTGCAAGTATTTGGCAACTGCATATTAACTTGTGGTTCATCAGGATGTTTAAGCTTCTCTAGCAGAAAATTCCCAGGGCTTGGGAAGCGGGGTTTCTGGTCTGGCACGATTTTGGACTACTTAATTATTGCTGAGTTCTTTCCATAACGTCTTGGCATAAAAGGTAGGACACTATGCATATATAGACGAGCGGATTAGTAACAACAAAAATAATAGTGAATATTTAATGAGACTTTTCCACGTGCCAGGTACTAGACCAAGTGCTTCATATATTTCACATAATGCCCCCAGCAGCCCTAAGAAGCAGGTATCATTATTACCCCGCTTTGCAGTTGAGGAAACTGACATGCAAAGAAGGCCCAACAGAGCAAAGAAGAGGCAGCAGAAACTGGTTCTCTAAAAATCTGGGAAGGCAATGGTGGCAGCCGTTCTTCTTTCCTCCACAGTGTTTGAAGGACTGGTTCCAAAATGAAAGTTCTACATTCAGCCGAAAGGAAAGGAAAGAGCCTTGAGTTAAAAGGAAGAGCGAGACCCCTTCGTAAAAACTGCCTATTCAGACACTGTCATCCCACAGACTTCAGTCTCATTCCCAAGTTCTCCAAAACCTTGTAAAACCAGCATGGGTAAAACTAATAGAAAATATAAACCAACTAGTTTTTTCCTTCTGGAGTTTATACTGAAAGTTTGCAGAAATGCGTTGTTTCAGTAAGAGCTTAAATGAGAGAGTACCTCAGATCTAGGAGGAAGGAGAAAGGACCTACAGAAATATACCCCATGCTGACAGGGGAGGGAAGAGAGCTGGGATCCATTTTATTTTTAAAACTTTAAGACACTGATTTCTGTTACTACCCTACTATTGTAAAATTCAAGCACAGAGGCTCAGAGGAACACCCGGGCATTCAGAGCTTGGGGATCTGGTTCGGGTTATCACTGGTTAAAAAGGCAAAGACGCACCAGATAGATACTCACTCATTCTCTAACACTAACTTCACCATAATCCCACTGCAAAGACAAGCAAAACTAGTTCTGTAGACTCTTTCCTGCTCCCTCCAACTCAAGCTGCCAGGAACTCCCACTATGCCTCAAACATAGAATGCTGAGATCAGGATTCTTGTTAAACCCAAAATAATGATGCATTCAGTGGTTGGCTTAGAAACAGTCTGGGGTCCCAAAAAAGGATCCTAAAAAGTGATGAGCGATCACAACAATTAAAATCAATTTCACTGCCAGAGTCTCCACGAGAATTCCTCGTTCATTCATCTCCATCTCTGAACATTTCATTCAACTTACTGGTAACAGATCTGGGGTCAATTTACCCAGCTCAGTACAGCAGCATCTGCAATTTCCTCCATGGTGTGAAGAGTGAGTAACAGCACAGGTAATCAACGGGTGTAAATAAAAACCTGTGATGCTGAAAACAGGGAGGGGAGAGAGCACAGCTCAGGAAGAAACACCAAGTCCCTGGTGGCAACAGTGGTATCCCCGGAAAATGCCTTCCCCCACCTCCAGATGAATTTTGTAACTATATAGCAACAAAACTGCAGGGACTTCTAAGTAATTTCATCACTGCATCTCTTTTATTGAATTTCCAACTGATGATAATCTAATACATCCAGAGTCACCTACATCCAACAGGTGGAGTGAATTTCTAAAATTGATGTTGTAGGTTTCACCCGTAGGGCTGCCCATGGCAGAAGAGTCAAATCCCACAAGAAGATCACATTAAAACATAGGATGAAAGAAAATCTGTCTGATTCCAACCCCAAATTGCCGTGGAAAAAGCATTAAAGTTCCCCCAAAGACAGAAATTCTCCCATTCCATCTTCCAGATAAGAAATACAGTTTTGTTTGCATGGACTTTTTTTTATGAGAATCTTATTAAGCATTCTGTTGGGGCATGAACTGAAGCTCATTTTATGCTCTAGAGATATGTTTTGAACTAGCAAAGGTGAAATAGCGTATCTTCAAATACAGTAAGCAATATAAACACAATCCAGAGGAAAGGACCACGAGTAAATTAAATCAACAAATATTTATCGAGCGCCTGGGCCTTAACACTGAGATGCCCCTGTCGGAGAGCTCCGACAAGTGAGCTTTCTGTGAGAAGCAGAAAGATGCAATTACAGTCTTCCTGAAAAATAAGCAATTAATCACACACAGCCTCAGATTAATTGCAATGCCTAAGATCCCCCACATCATTCTGCCTTTGCCCCTGAAATCTAATTCTCTCAAGTCCTCCTTGGCTTTCAGATCGATGAGCACCTCAAGCAAGCTTTCATTCTGATCGGGCCAGCCCACTACTAGCCAGAACTAGAACTCTCCACACACCTCCTTCCAGTTCGATTTGTGACCTTCACTGTGCCGTGTATGTCAAGGTTACGCTGCCCACTAACCATGCATCTTTAACATCAGGCCGCCACTTCTGCCCTGCTCTTCAGCGCCAGTGTAAAACCTCCCAGCCCTGCTGGGCCATTTCAAATCCATCCGATGGCACATTCAACAGCTAGTTAGCTTTCTGCCTTCCTCCTGTCATCTAGATTGCTTTGGGGTTGCAGAGCAAATTAGCCAGAAAGAGCCAACACTACCAAAATCCAACCCCAAATTTTAAACCCAGCCCTCAGAGAGGGAGAAAAGAAGGACCACCTCAACATCTTTCAACACAAAAATCTCTCTCAAAGTCAATCACAGCCCATAACTCTATTTCATGTCAAATGCCCCATTCCCCACAATTGTCTGAAATCTTTTCAGGAACACTACTGTCAAAATAGCACCCATGGGGAGACACCATCCAAGAACCAACATGACATCCCTTCAAATCGATATCTAAGCTGCAAGCACGATAAATCCAGAATGAATGCTGCCAAGGAGAAAATCAAATTCTGCTCATCTCCTAAGTGGGCAGCAACTAATTACCCAGCAGTACCCCAAGAGCCTCCAGGTGGGAAAGCCAGGGCACGGGGGGAATAACACAGCGTCCAAGACCTTCCGGGGAACTTGCGCCTCTGAACGCAGAATGTCATCAGATCATGAGAACGAAGCAAGACACTGAGCTCACACCCACAGAGGCGACTGCATTTTAGAGAAATTCCAGGAGGCTGGAAGCCAGGACCCTCCAGTCCCAAGTGCTATGTTAATGCATTTTTCCTTAGCTTTTTCAAGAATGGAGAAGGACCTATCAGGTCAAGAGGTTTATGGTGATATCTATACTTCCATTTTCTCGTTTGTTTAGGTTTTTTTCGCTGTGAAGCCCAGTTTCTGTGAATCAATGGCTCGGCTGCATCACGCTCCCCTCCCAGTAGCTCTCGGTAACGGGGCTTCCTCCGGCCACCAGTGCTCTGCCAGCTCAGATCCCTGATCTTGCAGCAGACTTCCAGCGGAGCAGAGCACCATCTATCTGTTAGAGCTCCGGCACAGCCACTTGCAGCACAGCTAAACCCATCGGGAAACCTTTAGCTTGTGAGAGATGGTTTTTAGGAATCTTTAAATACAGCTAAGATAGCATCCCCCATCCACTCATCTGAGAGAAAGATGGATACACAGATGGGTAAATAGATGGACAGCTCATCTTAACACCGCACATTTCTCCTTCCACCCAAGATCTGCACTGCTCGTTATCTCCCAGTATCTCCTCCCCTCTAAAGAAGACCGAAGACTGAAAAACTAACGCGAAGTACCCAATTGACAATTACGATGCTACGGACGGGAAGAGGCACCTTAAACACAGCAAAATGAGAATATTCACAGTCTACCCGACCAAAGCCCAAACAGGTAAACTGCTTTCCAAACGCAGGCTGATTAACAGCTTCCCTCCACCGCACTCCCCCCCACCCCCCCACCACCACCTTTGGGCTCCCTGCCTTGCATCAATGCAGGTCCCTTTAGAAAGTCAAATTTTCACTTACTCAGATCTACCAAGAATCCCCAGTGCCTTGCTATACGAAAACCCCACAAACGGCAGTTCTTCGCCCGAGAAACCTGAGGGGTTCAGCTGGCACGGAGAGGATGAAACCCACGAATTCTTCTCTGGTTCATCAAAATTGGAGGTGTCATCATCAGACTTGAGGGTGGGAACGAACGGGGGAGGAGCTGGTTAAAGAAAAACAAGAAGGGGGGGGGTGGTAAATTCAGACGGGTTCAACACTGTTGCGGAGAAAATCGTCTTACTCCTTCCGCGTTCGCGAAGGCACTGCAGCGCCGGCTCTCAATCTGGCTCACACAGGCAGACCCAGCCTCGGCGCTTACAGCAACAAGAGATTAACCCCTCCTCTGCCAACATGGCCACCAACCCGCAGACAGCCTTCCCTGCTGGGGTAAACGGAAGGATAAACTCAAACAGGTCACTTGGTGGAACGAAAGCACTTGGAGAACTCGTCTGAGCTGGATGCTCGGTCCTGATATTTCCAGAATGCTTCTACAGAGCATCGGCTGGCTGGTGCCAGCGTGCCAGATGACTTAAACCTATTTATTTTCTCTTCCAGCCACGTATAAATTATGAATATTTAGTGCTAATCACTGGAAGAAGATGGAATTTCTACATCTCATGGATTGACTGGAATGAGAGGAAGGTGCAGGAAAGATTTGGGAGGGATGTAACTCGTGTTAGGAGAGCACTGCAGTCTAGCTCATTCATATCCAGATGAGTATACTTGGAGCTCTTATTAACCACTTCTTTTTTAGTTGATTATCCCTCCTCCCCAGCTCGATCATGCCCCATGAATCCACCGCAGTTTAATCAGCATAATGAAACACCAGCCCAATAAAGTTCTTCGTGATGATTTACAGCACCCCTGCGTGTTGATGGTGGGAATGCACCGATGGACATCAGCGTCCTACCTCGTTAAGGCATGACTCCCGGCTAGGAGCATCTTACATCTTCTCCACTTCCTGCAGACCTACTATGCTCTCTCGGTCGTCAGGGAGGTGGACACTCGTCCATCAGTCACCAGGAGGCTGCCCATTGTGGTGGGCTCCCGGGGGTGTAGCCAGCCAGAAGCGTTACCATGGATGCCGGTTTAAGCGTCTGTGGCGGGCCAGCCTGGCGAATTGGCGAGCTGGGCATCACATCGCCCGCAGTGCAGGCTTCATGCTCGCCACTCCGTGCGTGCTCTGGCTGTAACCCCACCTGGCCGCCTGCGTGGCAGGGGCCAATGCTGATCTGAGTGACAGAGCAGCATGAGTCACTCCCGGAGCTCCCTAGAGCGCCCCCTAGGACAGTTGTCACAGCCGTTCACAGTCCAGACTTCTTTTTAACTCCTTGTTATCTGGAAAAAGCTGTGTGCCACATATGAGCAGCAATCTGTTTTCTGCTTACAGACTGAAAAGAATCTGGCTGTTTCCAAAATTCCCCAATGACAACAACATCCGAAGCGGCGTTAGGAAGTAAATGGAGTGGTAAAGGGATGTGGAGGGGAGAGGAGTGGAAGCCACAATGAGGACGTCTGGCTGCTCCCGGGAAGTGCAAAAGAACATTCTCAGAGCTTCAGGTGCAGAGACGAAGTGGGAGATGGAAAATGTAAAATGTGCACTACCGGAAAATTATTTAACACTTCCAAGCTCTCAAGAGAATTCAAATCTTCCCTGTTACTATCAGAATCTACTTGCTTAATACTTTAAAAATTAGCTGGTGGAAAGAAAAATTCCATTGAATGCTTCAGCCCACATCCCATGTGTACTTCCATCAACATAGGCTCAAATCCAGTCTGATTTCAATCACCCAATATATTTTTTTAAGCAAAAAGTTTTTAATGGAAATTACATTTGATAAAAATAAAAAAGAGAAGTTTTCCATCCCAAAATAAGGCAATGCAGATAAAGACTGAGGAAATGTATGGAGAGAGATTTGCAGATGATACTAATATGGAAGCATCATGGTTAATGGCTCACACTTTGAAATCTGGGTTCGAATCCTAGCTCCACCACTTACTAGCTCTGTGACCTTGGGAAAATCACTTAACCTCTAAGTCTCAGTTTCAACACAGGGATAACTTCCTCAAAGGGCTGTTGGGAAGTTTAAATGAAAAAAATCTATACACAGTGCTTAGCACAATCCTTAGCATAGAGTAAAAAGATTACCTGCTCTTATTACTATTGCTCACATAAGATACATGTTTATGACAGATCCTGCAGTTATTGAAAGCTAGTGAGATACAGCAAAATCTATGCTGAATATTCTTCTTTCCTGCACAAGGCACAGCCACACTCCTGTGGATGTTTGTGTTAATCATATCATTTCATTTCTAGCAAAAGTTTAATTCCCTTTCCATTATATATTAATTTATCTTTAGGAGACTAAAATAGAATTCCATTTCTGAGTAAGGAGTATGATTAATAAGGGGGTAGGAGCCACCCTTTGTGAAATAATTATGATTTACAAATTCCGTACTATAAAATAAGATTCCTCTTTAAAACTCCTTCATGCTCAAAGCTAGCCCATGTGGTCGGGATTAGAGAAAGGGCCAGATAATCTTCAATCAAAGGAAGGTGAAGTCAACATAAAATATACCAGCTGTAACAGGTGAGAAATTCACAGGACAGATTAAAAGCTAGGGATCTAAACCTCTAGACAGGTAGTGAGTTGAGTCCAGCAGGAAACTGTGAAAAGAACGGCTTCTAAGGGCCACATTTGAGCAGGGAAAAGAGCCACAGTCTCAAGCCAAAGAAAAGTGGGGGAAGTGGAAATTCTCTACCCACCAGAATGTGATGGATGCTCACCGTTGCCTACAGCCCTTTAGGGGGAAAGAAATAGAGTGGCTATTAAAATTGTAGTCCCAGGTGGGTGTGTGCATTTATAGTATCCTGCATGGCGTGGGAACTACAAGCCAAGAAACAGACATCAATACTGGTCCAGGATCACTGAGCCTTTAAGGCACTGGCAGACACAGGTGGAGAACAATTTGTAGGGGCACTTGCACAACTCAGGGCACACAGGACTCTCTTGCTCTCTCACACTCACACATACACAATCCCTACTGAAAATGAGTTCACAATAAAAAAAGTAAAAACCAACAACTACACATAACAAGGAAAAAGAAATCACCTAAACTACCATGAAGAAGCATCAGCAGATACAAGAAATGGGAAAATTAGCCCTCCAAAGATCACAGATAAAAGAACGATCTAAAATGGACCAGAAAATTTAACTTATTATCAAGGTAAATAAGTAGAAGTTCTAATAAAAGAACAAGATACTCTGAAAAAAGACAGAGCACATTGGAATCAAATACAACTCAAAAATGAACAGTATGGTTATTGAATTTAAAGTTTACAACTCGCTGGATGTGTTAAATAGCAGATTAGATACAGCTGAAGAGAAAATTAGTGAATGAGCCATTAGATCTGAGGAAATCACACAGAACCATGCTTCTCAAAGTGTGATCTGTGGACTGGCAGCACCAGCATCACCCAGGAGTTGGTAAGGAATGCAGGATCTTAGGCTCTACCCCATGTGCACTGATTCAGAACCTGCATTCTAGCAAGACCCCCAGGTGATTCCTGAGCACACTGCAGTTGGAGAGGTGCTCATACAGAATGCAATACACAGAGACAAAGAGACAGAAGCCGTGAGAGGTTAGGAGACAGACAATGAGAAGGTTCAATACACATCTAATAGGAGCACCACAAAGAGAGAGTACAGAACTAGCTCAAAATCTGGATGCCACATTTTAAAGGATTATGCAGTCTAAAGACTACCAGGTGTGTGACCACATCTATCTTGGGGGCCTAATTCTCCTCTTTCTTGTATCTTATACATGTCCCTTTTCTGATCCTCATAAAATACCTTTTTTTTTTTTTTTGCTTTAAAAAAGGTATTAAGTCATTGAAATCATTAGATTTGCACCTGTGTTGATGGAGGTATATACTGCACCTGAGAACATAGCATAGTGCCAGGCACATAGTTGGTGCACAATTAATATTTGCTGAACAGCTATTTAATTAAATGACTAGAAATGGCTCTTGCAGAGAGAGCACCTAGCATAACACAGGCCATGAAGAAGTTACTTGGAGTTTGAGTTAAATGAAGAGGCTTTAAAAGTGGAAATTGTTCTGTCTGAAAAATATGTTAATGAGTGCCTATATTAATATTTTCTGATACAGTATTATGAAATCATCTCAGCCCCTCCACATACCCACCACATTCAATAATGACAAATAAGGAGTCATATATTAAGATCCATTATTCATTGGTAAAAGCCACTAAGAAAAAGGAAAAAAATCTTTCCCTATATATTTTTTAAATAAATCAGCCTATGCTTGAGGTCGCATCAGGACACATCCTCCTTAGTGGCAGGGGCTATACAAGTAAGTTCTGGAGGGTTTTTTTTTTCCTCAGTTATAAGATAGATGGCAGAATAAGGCTTTCAGAAACAAAGAGCTATTTTAAGAGCTGTAGTTAATCTCTCGCCTATAAATTCTCTTTTTTCTTTATCCTGACATTCATTAGAAGCTTTTGGGGGAAAAAAAACTTATTGCCTTCAAAAATATTCAAAAAAATTTAAAAACAAGGAAAGGAGAACCAAATGGATTTGTCCTCTTGGTCCTACTTCTTTCTAACATGCTCCATTGAGCTCCATTTACCTCATTTCCACATTTAATTTTTCAGCATACCAGACAAACACTAATATTAAAAACACAAAAGATTTTCTAATTTTGGTATAGTGTTTATGATCTGCTTGCTCCACAGGAACACAAGCTCCGTGAAGGGAAAGGCTATGTTGTGTTCACCATTATATACCTAACACCCAGAATGGTACCTGGCTGTCCTTATTCAATGTTTACTATCTACTTTGTTAAAGGAATGAATGAATACCAAGAACCTTAGATGTGGGATAATTTCTTAGACCTGATGGGTTATTTCAAGGAATATGCCACTTTAAGAAACCCAGAGTACCCAATTTAGTCATGAAGAATTGGCACATTAAAAACAAAGCAAAAACCTGAGCCTAGATATAGCTCATAAAACTCCTATGACTTTTAATCATCACTATGGGTTACAGACACTGGTGCTGAGTTGTGTGTGGCAGAAGTTGAAGATGAATAACAACCAACAAAGGGTCATAAAGGACAAAGGCACATGAACAAATATTGTG